AATTTAAAATTTATCAAACTTAAAAAAAAAATTCTGACAACAAAAGCAAATTGAATGTATGAATCTACATTTTATTTAGAAAACATTTGTATGGGAAATATAAAAGTCATCTTTTTAGAGATTTCCCGACATTTATTCTTTTCTCACCTTTTAAACCTTCCCTGAAGCTTCACGAACATTTCAAGACTAAGATAACAAAAATCCGTTCAGCCGTTCTCGAGTTTTAGCGAGACTAACGAACAGCAATTCATTTTTATTTATATAGATAGATAGATTTCATTTACATTGAACAGGATTTAGTTAACCCAGTGGCTCAATTCGTTAACATATTTGTCAAATAAATCCTCATAAAGAAGGTTAAACATGCAAAAAAGTTCGAGTGTACATGTCGTTTTAGTTTTCTTTGTGATACACATTTTTGATATCGGATATATTCGAGGTGTTGTGTTTTTAAGTTCAAAAATATTGACCAACGATTATGCATAAAACCACCAAATAATGGAATAATGACAATATGGAACTAATAGTATAATTTTAAGGAAATCTAGGTTATGCTTCGTAGAATCAGGACTCTACCCCGCATGTCTTCTGATTTTCACCCTTACGTTGTCTCAAAATGTACGTGCAATTTATGGACAACGTGTACATATGGGAATTCTCAATTTTCTTTTAAAACTCCATTAAATAAATTTGATTTGAACTTTATCAATAAATGAATCGACAAACATCAATCCATACACATGCCTTTCTGCAACCTATGCTAAATTTCAATGGGACAAATTTTTGCAAATCGATTTATAGCACACTATTCGGTAATATCAATTAGACACCCGTTCGAAATATATATGGAAGCCACGTCTGCATCAGCAACCATTGCAAAAAAAATTAAAAAAATCACATTCATTCTAGTCTCAATTGGATACGTTGTGCGAAATTTCGTGTCAATCGGACAAACATTAGGAGTTTGGTGCACCACTTACCTAAAATCGGACGAAAATATAAATGTGGCAGATATATCTAAATCTGAACCAATTTTCAGGAAAATTAACACACATCATTCTAGACTTAAGTCAGTACGGTATTCAAAAATTTCGTGCAAATCGGACGAAAATATATATGGGAGCTGTATCTAAATCTGAACCGATTTTCACGAAACTCAACACATATCATTCTAGACCTAATTCATTACGCTATGACAAATTTCGTGGTACACAATTGTCCTTAAATCGGACGAAGATATATGGGCAATATTGCCAATTTTTTAACATAGCTGAAGCGGAGGTTCACCCCTTTATAACTCGGGAATTACTTAAATATATTCCCTATAAAGTATATATATTCTTGATCAGGGTAAAATTCTAAGACGATCTAGCCATGTCCGTCTGTCTGTTGCAATCACGCTAACTTCTGATGGAATTGACACAGGGTACTGAAATTTTGCATAGGTTTGTCTTTTGTCTGCAGGCAGGTCAAGTTCGATAGTGGGATATATGGGTCCACGTTTAGGCATAGCTTCCATATAACCCCCCCCCCCCAATTTTTCTTGGGTTCTTGAGCGCGTTTTTCAACCGAATACGCTGAAATTTGGTACATTGGGTTCTTATTTGGTACTTAATGTCAGAATAGAGAACGAGTTAATAAAACTAATTGGAGAATACTTCCATAAGTCTATTGTCGAAATTTTGGACAAGGTAGGGGAGAGGGGGCACCTTTGAACACTTTTTGCTTTCAAGCCTTATAAAATTTTTTATTTTATCATTTTTGGTTTCTTATAAATTTTAACTAATAGGTACATATGTAACCTTTAAAATGAATATACATATGACATACTATAAGCTTGATAAATATATTTTATTACTGTTTTAAAGGACGAACTCAAAGTGTTCAAAACTGCCCCCCCAGGGGGGCACCTTTGAACAGGGGTTGGCATTTTTGAACGACATGGTTTTTTACAGTGTTTATGTTCAAATATGTATGTATTTTATTCATACATATCAGAAAAGCATTAATTCATTAAAAAATATATTAAAAATTTTCAAAATTTAAAAAATTTAGATCAAAAATTATTAAAACATAAAATGTCTTAAAAATACAAATTAGTATGGTGAAAAATACAGTTAATTTCGTAATCTTATTAGCCCATTTGAAATTTTGAGAAATCGAAGCCAAAAGTTAAAATCTCCTTTTTTTACTCGAGTTTAATGGGCATGTTCAAAGGTGCCCCACCCATGGCATTTTACGGAACTTTAAAATAACTTTTTTTGTAATAAATATATATGAAAGAAATTACATTAGTTATGTTTGAAATGATTGTTGGAATGCAAAAAATTTGTTTGACGAAAGAAAACTATCACAGAATTCTTCCTGCGCCCTTACAACCAAATGAATAAAAGTTTACAATGACACTGAGAAAACATGGTCACCCATGCACAATTTTTCGACAACTGAAAAAGCAAGCCAAAGTGGTTTACGCATATAGAGAACAAGATTGCCATATACAAAAATGTGGTTGCGGGTCGGAAAAATATTAAACCAAGATTTTATGAGCGCTGTTCAAAGGTGCCCCACGTTCAAAGGTGCCCCCCTCTCCCCTATCTAAAAAAGTCAAAGAATGTTTCCTTTGCTACGAGGAATTAGAATCGTTAACTGCAAAATAGTTTTCGGCCGTCATAATAAACTCAGTAATCAGTTTGGATTTGAATCCAAAATTTTTGAGATGTCAATGATATGACGGCGCGTCTAACATGTCAGGCAATTGTAATGGAGTGCAGGCCATTATTAAATCAAAATTAATTTCTGCGGTATACATTAAATTTTTTTAATTAAGTTTAAATGCAGCTGAAGTATATTTTCTACAATTTTGGAAATTTGCTCATTCTTTAGAAAATCCACAATGTTCTGCTACTCTATGTATAATATTTCGAGAAGCTTACAAATATAAAAGGGATAGTGGAATCGTTGGAATATGGGATTTAAGTTGAATTTATTTCTATGAAGTAGAAGTTTTAGGTCAAATGTAATGAGTTCGAAATAATTTATAGAACAACATTATTTGCCCCATGTTTGGACGAAATAATTGCGAATATGACAATTATAGAATGTGATGCGATTATAGAATGTGACGAAAATCTATTTCCCAATCTATATTGTTACACATCTTAATAACGATAACGCTAATTACAGCATTAGTTTAAAGATTTATACCGTGGTAGATAATGCAATATTTGACTTCTTATGCATACGTAAACAACATTGAACAAAAGCGTAACGCGGCACCAAAATGTGTAAATATACTATTTCTACGAACAAGTGTAAATCCAAAGATGAAGGTAAGTAAATAATAAAACAAACTATTCATATTAATTACCAGTTTTTGCGATCATCACAATTGATTATCAGCGAAAATGTAAACCGATGCAATTTTCAATTTCGAGTTGAAGTGAAACTCTACGATTCTTAGGATTTCAGTGAACGAAGCAATAGAAGAAACAGGAGGATGATGATGAAATGATTATACAAGCCGATTATTCAAGCCGCATGCCTCAAAAGTACTGAAAGAAAGGCTGGTAAATATAGCAAAGCTTATGAAACAATTTCTCCTTTGACCCCGTTCCAAGCACTCAAAATGTTTGTAGAAACAGATCTAACAAGACGGCAATATGAAATAATAAGGGCAACTAACCCAAAGCATTACCCTTGTTACGAGCTTTTGTTGAAAGCAAAACATGAGCCAAAGACGGCGTTGTAAGTAACAGCTACCTCCGCAGAAGTTAATTTACAATGCCAAAGAGACCATACTATTATACTATTAAACGTTTACATTTCAATCTACCTGGAATAAGTGTTATCAACCATTGACGAAATTGAAAGAAATTTATTAACGATAATTTATAAATGGGGGTGTGACGGGTCACAACGAAAAGAAATTTGACAAAGAAAAATTGGTCTGACCATAATAAGCGTGACTGTTTTCATAGCAGACTTTTGCGTGAAAAATGATCAAATTTGAATTCTATTCTACGTAGTAACAATATAACTCCTAAGGTCAAGGACGATTCCTAAAATTTATTTTTATTTCTTTTAATCTATATAATCCATGGTTTACAAACACAAACTTTTATTACTTTTTCGGTTTTCAGTTTCTCGAGAAGAAACTGATGGTAAGATACAACATCAATCATAAACTAAGATGTACATATTATTTTGGGCATGTGTGTTCAAATGCGAAAATGCCTTGCGAATATTTTACTAAAAATGTGTGACGCAATCATGTTAAGGTGTATCATTTTAAAGAGCAATGCAAATAAATACCTTAACTATTGGTACATTTGAAAAAAAATTGTCTGGAAAATATGACACATTTAATCTCAATTCTGTTTAAATCTGTAAATCGATTTCGGAATTTTTAAATGAGAGGTAGTACATTATAATCGGCAATAGTGAAACTAATTTTTACCAAAGTGATTTGATAATAAATTCACTCTGTTCCATTTGGCAGGCATATAAACTGGAAAACACGTTGCAGTTTTAGAAACAATTTCTTTCTTTACTTAGATATGTAATTTTTCTGAATAGAGTGCGCTATATTCTCGTATGTGCAACATAAGGAAATAAACTGTCTGAAAGAAACTAATTGTTGGAAGAAAATATTTGAATTGAAAAACAATGAAGTAATTTAAGGGCAAAAGTGATAAAATTGTTATTTCGTTTATAGGTTTTTAATAAAAATGTCGGTTTAAGAAAATAGAGATCTTTTGCTTGGTTTATAGCCCATATGGATTTATAAATACACTTTCACTTAAAATTAAATATATAAAGATCAATTGGTCTACACCTAAGTACAACTAATTTAAATCAAAACTCCTGTAACATCTCTCATCAGTGTCAAGTCAACATTGTCTACATCAGATTTTTATGACGAACATTTTAATTTTCGAACAAGAATTTATGCAAAATTATTTAATTATATTCTTATTGTAAAAAATATTGTGATAGCTTACCTGTTGCTTAACGTCGCACTTTTGAGCAAACTGTAATTCTCTTGAACATCGATTATATAATTGGAAGCGAGGAGTTAGAGTTATAAAAGTGGTAGTAAGATAGAGTCCTTTTCCCCTCTGGATATTGACTCCAACAACATAGTTTGTTTTTGATTTTTCGGCTTTCAGTTCACGGAATGTGGTTTCTTTATGAATTCCGAAACTTTTGCACCACTGGAAATATAAAACATAACATAATATTGTAAGATAAAATTATTTAAAAACATATATAAACAAAAAATTTAAAGCATTTTGTATTGTTTTCATTAGGTCACAATATGCGAATTTGCACTTGGAATGTGCGCAGTTTTCGCTTTGGCGGATGTACTCAAGAAGTACAAAGTCGATATTATTGCCTTACAGGAAATACGATGAAAAGGGACAGGCGTAAGTTAATCAAATGATAACGCAATGTATTACAGTTAACTGGGGAATAAAAGACCTCATCGTCAGATTTACTCCTGTAGATGAGCGAATAAAACCCGGCAGAAACAAACATGGTAGTTAGCAGCACCAGATTCAAGCATCTCAATATACACAAGGCCACCTGGATTTCTCCCGATCAAACAACGAGAAATCAAATTGATCATTTGAGATAGACGGAAGACAATCATCCAGTGTTTTAGACGTTTGATCGATCCGAGGAGCGAATATCGATTCGGACCACTACCTTTGTGTACTTAGTTGAAAGCATTAAAGCCCGACGGTCAACAGCAATTCCTCCTCTCTACTGGCAACGCCACTAAACTATGTTACCATCCGTAATCGACCCATTAATTTTGTAATCTACATAATGCAATATGCATTTCTTTCCCTTTGTTTCTAATTAGCGTACAAAAAGAGATACAAATGTGGGGAAACCCAAACAAAAATTCACCATTTTTTTATATGTGACAATTGAATTGAGAAAATATGAATATATATTTAAAACAACAATATTTTCAGATAAAATGGAAAACATGAATTAAAAATAAGTAAATATTCATACTATAGTCAGGAGAAAGAAAATTGTTTTTTTCTTTTTAGATCCATATGTGAATCATGCAAATATGTTACAATTTTGGGTAAAAAAAGAAACAAAAAGTTGGAAATAAAAAACTCTGATGACATGAATTAAGAATAGTGTTGTATGAACGTTTTAATTCATGTACGTAATTCTGAAAGCGAACTACGTTGTTCGATTGCCCGTCAGAACATGGCATAAGAATTAATACTATATTCATGTGATGGACCCATGTCCATAATAGCTCAACTATTGATCGTGAAGAAACACAAAGATGTTCGACAAGTTCATTAAAAATTCAGCAGCCTCTTCTCGGCACAATACTATTCTCTACTGGAATGAACGTAACACAAAAAATATATTTTCATAAAATGGATTATAATTATAAATTTCAATTTATACGGAGTTAATGTAAAATTTGTATAATCATCATATTGATAATCAATATCATATATTTTGCTAATTAACAGCCTAGTAAAAGAATTATGATTATCATTAACCTAGCAGATCGCTGAGGCCTCATCGTTCATTGTCGTTTGGTATGGTGAGTGAAACGAAGTAGAACTTGTCATTCTAGTTATCAATATGTATGTATTATGATATGTAGGAACGAGCACGCAAACCAGAAGAAGAAAAATAACTCAATAATTTTGTCTCTTTACATGAGGAATGTTGTTGATGCATTTACTTAGCTTTTTATCACAATGTGTATATGATCAATATGTTTTTAGAATAACTGGAATGCATATATGTACATACCAACAATAATTTTTGTCGATTCTGTAATTTTCAATGGAATGATCTTTCAGTTTTGCGTCGTCGTTTATAAATAAACATATAAAAGACCAAAGCGTGTAGGAAAAAGCAAAACAAATTATAAAGTATAGAAAAAAACTTCTCCATAAAGATAAATTACGAAGATTAAAAAAATCAAGCTCACAATTTAATTATATATAAGAATTAGTAGTTTTGGCGGTTTATTTGGTATATCATTTGTATTTTGTTTTTGCAAAGTAGTCAGGCTAAATCCCAGTTTGTTGTTTTTATAAAAACAACCAGGGTTTAAAATGCTAACGCCAAAATAGCAAAAACACAGAAAATTGCCGCACTGCTAACTAAATTCATCCTCAAAATATGCAGCACAGCCAAGCACAACTGCAACAAATAGCAATACATTACGAATAATTTTAGCAAGCAAAACTACAGCTTCTTGATTTTGTCAGCAGCTACAAAATAGCAATGAACAACTACAACATAATTGTCAACGCGACTAACAACCAAAGCTTTCAATGAAGACTAAGCACCTTGACTGTGGCTGCTTAGCAAGATTTTTAGCAAACAAAACCCGAGCATTTTTCGAGTTCAGTGTTGTCCATTGTATTGTGTATTAATTATATGAGAGAATTAAAAATCGAGATTATGATAATTTCATTTTTTCGAACAAATACAATTAGTAATACTTGCTAAAGAGTTTAATTTAATATATTATTCAGTTTTTAGTACTATTATTGACAGTTTTTAATTGCGATTTGACAAGTTTAAATTAAATAAAAACGCACAAAATGAAATGCCTTTTTTCTAATTTCTGCGTTGGCAACACACAAACATAAACAACCCTCGGCTGATTATTCGTCGACAGCGAAATATGAATATGTAGTCGTACTGCCGATTAGTCATAACAAAAAAAGCTCGCATGTGCAATACGTGCTTAGCACGGATGCTACGAACTAAAAAGCTAGTCGTTTGCTGATTTAGTCGTAATGTCAATATTTTTTAGCAGTAGCTCTGTAAGACTAATGCTAATATTTTTTGATGCTGCATTTAAACCCTGGACAGGCACGGTTAAACTATTTTGTTTTTTGCTGTATGCTAGCAACACCGACGAAGTCGTTGTGTGCATTCGTCGCGATGTAATGACACACAACAGTGGGAAAAGCATGGTATTGTTTACAAATGCCTTATTAACCTCGAAATTCTCATGCAGTTTATTTCGTTAGTCAGCTAAGTTCTTGGCTTTGTTACAAGTGACATTTGGGCATGAAAGTTTTTTTTAAACAAACAATAAATAGCTTTTGGGGAGAATATCCAACAAAAAAACTAAGGGAAGTAATGAGGATCAGTGGTGAGATCCGAAACTATAGTCTTCCCTGCCTTACCCCTTGGTGGAAGTGCATGTAAAACAGGGATGCACGTCCTTGCACTCTAGCGGTCGGCTCAACTCAGACGGATTCTTACGCTCATTTGTTTAGTCGTTGTTGAGACTTCGACAAGTAAACATGTTTATGGTGGAAGCGATAGTGACGACGAAAAAAGACCAATAATTTGTATTTATTTAATTTCATTCACACCGATGGAACGCTCATGTTTGACGTGTGTTGCCCACTTTAACTATGTGTGCTAGTCTCACACACAAATTCACAAATTGTCATCCTCTCACCGTGTACATCACTGTTATATATGTACTGATAATTCTACATCACTATGACTCTCACAAATAAATAATGAGGTCCAATTTACGTTTTATTATAATTAGGAACAGATTTAAATGACATTGAAGAATTTTTGGTAGCTAAATTATTATGCATTATGTATGTGTAGTGTAGGATGATAGTTATCTTCGGAAGTACATACTGGAGGTATTCTAATTATTTCGAAATATTGTGTATAATTCACAATGGCTATATCTAGAATTCGATCATAACAGTTTGATATGCTATTTATTTTATAAAGATTTATGTCGCTAATATTATATATATTCTGTCAGAGTCATTCATTTTGTCAGTGACTGAATTTATTGCCAACACATGCTGATTATTATATGATGATTGAGATGAGGGAGGAATGCCTGAGCAAGTCACAAGTAATTAAAAATTTTCTAATTCAAAGGGTATGCAAATAAATTCGATATCAAAACAGTTTAATTCAATTAAATTAGTGGAATATTTGGTATCAACTACAATAAGGACGCCACCACCTTTTTTAACAACTCTATCTTTTCTAAATATTTGATATTTAGAACACAAAATTTCACTATTTCACAAGGCTATCAGGGAATAATCCAGTTAATTATGTGTTTAATCCTCTTATATTCTGATACCAAACATCGAGAAACATTTTTTTTGCAATATTTCAGGCCATTGTGACTTTGTAGACAGGAATACTCACATCAGTAACTACACACCTCGCCTGACAACTTTCACGATATAAATGTGATTATTCCAAACATGGAATCCTGTATAACTGGCTTCTTACCTCTGGTTGGTCTGTCTTTGGACACTTTGTTGGTGAAATCCGTTCGAGCTGCTGTGGGAAAACCAGCAGCAGATGGTCTGAAGTACTTGGATGCAGGATTTTAAAAGCTATTGGGCCCGAGTTTTCACGACGTAGAACTACTCTTTAGCTTTTACAAAGGAAAAAGGGACAAAGGTCGCTGCAGGTTTAGATCACTCACATCCAAATTTTACATCAATGGAGTGGATTATTGCGTTTATACGAGAATGAGGAAGATCAATTCAACATATACTCTGTAGATGGGCACAAAGAACAAACATCAGCTGAACTTCCTTTAATATAACCTAACACCGTTTAAAATTGTTTTTTTTCTATATTTTTTGTGCTTTATTTTGTATTGCAAAGCCTTTCAGCCAAAATCTAATACAATATACTTTAATAACAAATGATATGCAAATAAATTAAAATTAATAGAATTAATATTCAATGTATGTAAAAAAACTAAACATAGTACAAAAATATTTTTATTTTACGTACTTCGCAGGAGACTACTTATCAATAAACATTTCATCTAAGAGGTTGTAAAAAACTATAATCAACAATAATATGAATATGTACATTATACGTATTCCTCAGAAGAATACTACTAAAAAACACAAAATTTAAGAGACTGTAGAAGTCTAATGGGTCAGTTATGGAAAGCAACCAAACTCCAGTTGCGAGTTCAACTGGCAACGCAATAAAATATTTCAGAAAAACTAATTATATGTGATGATAAGCTCAGTGGAACTATTTTTTTAAGATGAAATTTATGTTCAAGGTGTATAATTTATTAGAAGGCTTTTAAGAGATAAATCTATTAGAGAAATGTTCAATCAACTGCTCATATTAAGGCGTATTTTCGACTACCAAAATATTCGGTTGTGTACCTGGCGGTCAA